ATGCTCAGATGATATCGATTTTATACTACTACTACAACACGCTGCATCTATGACAACATTTGTGGCGCCTAAAAGATTATTTTACATGGTAACAAGTGGGTGAGTTAAAATTTATCGTCACATCTGCAATATTTCAGCCATATCGTGTCAAAACAATTAAGTTAAGACATAGTAATTAATGGTAAACTGTAAAAACCTGTCAACGAAGGACAGGAAAATAACCAGATTATCACAGATTCGAATTTAAAACTAGTAATTAAATCTAAAACAGGGTAACTATAGATGACAATACAAGTTAAAAACAGGCTATATATTGCCAACAACTGAAGATAGATCACCATACTAGGGACCATGGTGACTTACAGTACATTTGCTTCCCGCATGGACCGTAGCTGGATTTACATCATCCCTTCAGCTATAAGCAATTTTATATGAGCTAGCCACAAAGTAAAAGAACATATATTCTACGATTAAAAAGGTAGTAAGTTTCAATTGACTTTGAATGTTTTGGGACTTACGTACCCTACATGGTAACAAGTAGAGCGAAACGATTCACAGAATCAATGTCAATTCACTGTCATCTAAATGTGTTTCTTTGTACAAGAAAAATGGTCATAAAGTTAGTCGGGTTGTTTTTCGCGTTCTGGTACATTCTGTAGCCTCATCGCACCTTACAAACAATGATGATACATTCCCATGGCAACAGATTATTGAATTATGAAAGGAATAATTTGTTGATAGCATTTGTGTGATTGGGGTGGTGCTATCAAACTGTAAAACGTCAGTTGTACAGATTTGGATCACTTAGTAAACTGTAACAGTTTTTCAGGTATCAATATGTTACTCACCAGAGGATTGGAACGCTTCAACAGTCACTCCACGTTGGAAGGCCACGTGACCAACGATACAGAAGAAAGCGAAGCCGAAGAAAACGTTGCTGAGTGTATCAATTAGGCAAATTTTTATTGCATCCCTTTAAGAAAAACATAAACATCATGCTGTAATACTGTTGAATGTCTGAATGTTAAAGCTTTCAGGTATTTGAATATATGCATTTACGTGAATATCGAACCAACCATTAGTTTTTGCCTGTGTAGGGAAGTAAATGTGTCCTTCTCATATGTTGGTTCACATATACTTCGTTCTAGAGTTTGATATTGGTCAGTCACAAATAATTTAGAAATTACCATGTATTGATGCAACAACTAAAGCATTTCTGTAACACCAGTACGACCTAGAATATACCTGAAGCAGTTGTTATCCTTTCTGTTGTGTGAAGACATAGTGATGATGCACCCCATGGCAATACCCAACGAAAGCAGGGCGTAACTGCATGAATGAATCCACACCTTAAAGCCATGGAATCATGTTATGTGTATACATCGCTAATCAGCATCCTAAAATGTAACATAATCTTTGAAGATTGCATTTACGTACATCTCAAGGTGTATAATAATAGTCTTGACATGAAACCATTCTTATGAAACATTCAGTGAAAAGATATTCCTGTAATATGTGGCTGTGTTTATGCCACTTTTGAATATTTCACAATGGTAACCTCAAACCCGTCTAATCCTTCATCCCTGGAGACTATGAATGCTACACACCTACAATTGAGCATACTAAAAGCTAAATTGCATTGTTATTATAGTCGCTGTGATAAATACGAACCAATAATAACACAGAAGGGTGAAAGAAAACCTGTAATTTCAAAAGTCACATTTGCGTAAACAGATTTGTGCTCACTTTAGGGTCTGCAAGCTTGTCAAACTTAGGGTAGATGTAGTAGTATATTCCTTCTACTGAACCCGGAAGTAGACAGCCCCGGATGAGGAAAACCAAGATGAGGATGTAGGGGAGGATTACAGTGATGTAGACAAGCTGGTGGAATAATAATTATTCAGTGACTGAGGGAATAATTTGTTTCGGTTAGGTTAACAAGTCAATATAATGACTGAAATATGTGATCTAATAGTTTTCATGAAAACTAAAGATTTCTCCGTAAATGTAAGAAATCGAATGCATCATTTGCATTATCTATAACTTCTTAAAAGAGACAAAACAGTATAACAGTAACTCTTTATAATATGTTTTTGGCCCCAAACAGTATGCCTTGAATTGTGTAAATTACCTTCCCTGATACTTTGATTCCTTGAAATATCCAAAGGAATAAGATCATTGTGGTGGCGGCCAGACACCCAACAAGATGCCATCTTAGACCTCCAAGGTTGTCCAGCCCATCACTCTCTCCCAGCATCCGGAATCTGTGGAGGTGAACAACCTTGTGTGAGTAGGCTACATCAGGGACGAGAGTGAGTGAAGTGGGCGTCATGCAAGCAATATGTAAGTCAGAAGAAAGACGTCAGCAGAAACAGGCGCAGGCCTTGAAAACGTACCATGAAGTGAGCTAAGAAACCAATAATGATGATGATGTTAATGTTTCTTGAACTAAGTTAATGGAATCTATTTTATGTCCTTAAGAACAATCTTACATTAGAGAGAAAGAAAGTATACGCCTTATAATAATGCTTGTAGACATTAATATGTATTCGTAAACCAACTTCCAGAATTCTTCAGCTGCTGTCATCCTTCCGGCTGTTTCATTCAAGGGATGTCCAGCGTCTGTTAGCGTTGTGTTAGACGTTGCGTCGTCAGATACATATGTAGCGTTTTTGTTCCATATGCATGCTGGGGTGTTCCACGCGTTGCCGCAGTGATCCCAGGGCAGGGTGTGGAAGAACGAGTAGTAGAAGTAGTACAAAAACCATGCGAATTGGACGGTGCAATAGCTGACATATATCCATGTAACGACAACGGTACCGACTCCTATACCTGAAATATTTGGGAAAATAGGAATAGGTGTCGAAGCGCGTCATTCTGCTTTCCGAAACATGGTCTGAATATCCTTTTTGAGAAGTTCATTGATACATTACGACCATCTGGTGTGGTGGTGACAAAGCAAAGCTTACAACCAGCGCCTACCCGTGAATGAAATCCACGTTCACCGGTTTAACTGATGGATGCATAGCGTTTGGGTAGGTTTCCCTATGAAACTATTTCAATTTCGACTGCCGAATATGCATTGTTGCTCTGAATTGGCTCTGTATAGTTGTTATATGCCATTGCTACAATGTCGAAATATGTCATGCTCTTTAAGTTTAGGTATTTGTCCGTTTGACACTTGGCTGTATTTCAGTTGTTACCTTTGAGAGCAGGACACATATTCCAAACTTTTATAGGTCCACTCTGAGAGAACTGTCCGATTGTCATCTCCAGAAACACACAGGGGATGGTTCCAATTATGATGAAAAACGTGACCAGTATCAGGAATGCTCCTTGTCAACAAACATAAATACCTCAGTATTTCCAAGACTGACATTGAATATTTCCAAAGCTAAAAAAATATATCCCCATGGTATAAATCAATAACATCAGTTCTAACCTGCGTGGCATTTTTAACCTGCGCCTTGCAACGGAAGGCAGCCAAACAACATAAGCAGAAAAACTGAGTACCATATTCGGTTATAGGTACAGACTTTTGAATTATTGTGTCATCCATCCACAGACTATGACTTACCTTTCATTGCATGCCATGGATTCCAACGCAAAATTGAGTCCTCATCATAACCGTGATATATAAAAAAAACTACCCCCAATCCTTAAGCTTAAAAGACTTAGAGTTAAAGAAGTGTAGAACTTCTAAAGGTCCCGAGACGCAGACATGGATATTATGTGAGTTAGGCTTACCTCCCCATTGCGCATGCAATAGAAAGGGAACCTGATGAATGCTCCCGACCCAACACAGTATCCCACAAGGGTGATGATGTAGTCCAGTTGACTGCGCCATTGTTCATGAGACATGGTTCCATCCAAACTATAACACAATTTACATTAACACTGAGGATCTAAATATAGAACGTCAGCGCAAAAGAATGGTGAAATATCAGTCTATTTAAGATACATGGCAGCTGGTCTGTTCATTATTGCGACTGGTGATATTTGGTTTTGCCAACGGTCATGCTATATATTTTTCCTAATCAATGTATGTTGTGTGCTGGTTTACACCATAAAACGGTAAACCACAGGATGAACACGATTTCAAACTTTAACACGGCAAACGGCTGGGTTCATTAAAAAGCCTGGTTGATTACTTTTACAAAAGCAGAAGTTATAGAAGAGCGTTAATACTGTTGTGTTTAATCCTATTAATCTTGTTCATTAAGTGGAGATTGCAAGGCGATATACATGTTTTGGAAGGTCATAGTGTGTTCTATGTTTTCCCGGGCAACAAAAGAGACTTGTGTGTTAAAATACGCAACGTTTGCTATGAACCAACTTTTCGCGCTTATTCCTTGTACTCCTGTTTGTCAGAAATTTTAAAGTATATCACCTGATAATATACAATAACAACATCATTAACATAAATGGTATAGAACAGTAAATGTTTGGTAAAAAATCTGCCAAAAGCTTTTACGCAAGGAAGTATTTGAGAGAATTAATATTACTTTGGAGATCGTCAAAGTATTTGCTTGATTTTGTTTATAATTCGGACAAAGGCCGAAGCTCAAATTACTAGTATAAAACATTTGATTTGTCAACTCTGTAGACGGCTGTCCCTGATGACAAATTAAGGGACACACTTCATTCAGGGAGTTTTTGTCACGAAACGAGGTAGCCATCGATGAAGTTGAATATATATTTTCAGATAATCAGGACAGTTTGACAAGACTGAAAGCAAAGGCCATGTAAACAGAACAATCGATTTTCGAAATGCTTCCTCGATGGTACCATGTATGAAACTTTGAGAAACGACACTCAGACAAGAAGAACGGATTCCCATGGGTACCATTGTACTCCACATTTTTATTGTCTGTTCCTCAATGCTCTGGTCGGACTAGCAATGTCCAATCAAGGTGGTTAGACCAAGAATTTTAACTTTAGCTTCAGGTACATAAACGATCAATTATATTTTGACAACCAATTCCCTTCTACGTTGTCACCTATCTGAACTAGAAAAAATGTAGACCAGTGAGACAACCTCATCTATTCAAAGTGAGGATGTATGCTTATGGAGTGCAACAATACTCACAGCAAGACTGTATGACACGAGGGGTGACTTCTACTTTGCAATAGTCAACTTTCCCTTAATGGAAGGGAAATGTGAGCGTATTTCACATAATTGTTATCTATGTCGAATCCCAAAACATTTGAAGTCACTTTAAGTGTACCAGGTTTTTAATCGTAGTATTGTTGTGTTTTAAATGTATGGCTTAATGTCAGTATCAGCGCCAATGGCTGAAGGGAGGGTATTTATAAATCCAGCTAGGGTCCATGCAGGTAGCAAAAGTAATGTAAGTCCCCATGGTCCCTAGTATGGTGATCTCCCTTCAGTTGTTGGCGATCTCTAGCCACTTTTTTATATTGTATTGTCCAAATAGTGCTATTTGTTTTAACTTCTACGCTAGTTTTACTTCAAATTGTGATATTCTAGTTGTTTTACTGTCCTTCGTCGGCAGGTTTTGATAATATCTATATATATTCTATTTCCATGTCAAATGTTCTCGTCACGATATGGCTGCAATATTGCCGATGTGACGTTAAATAATAACTCACTCACTCACTATCTATGTCGAAAACAAACATTTCACATGAAACTATTTTCAGATCATCTTTGTTTTGTATTACAAAAAAACTGTCCAGGTGTGGTTTCGTTTGGTTGCTGTTTAACGCCGCATTGTGCAATATTCGAGCTATTTCAAATGTACAATGTGTAAATAATTGCGTCTGGACCAGACAATCCAGTGATCAACATCATGCGCATCGTATCGATACGATGACGTGTCAATCTGACCACTCGATCCCGTTAGTCGCCTCTTGAGACAAATATGGGTCGCTGAAGATCAATCCTGACCCGGATCTTCGCGGGTCTCCTGGTGTGATATATGTGTGTAATATTCAGCCCAACAACACAACGTTGTGAGAAATAGGAGTTGAAATCCTCTATTGACTTGAAATGTCACTCCGTCATGTAAGTGAGCTTGCCCTTAAAATCGTTCACATAACATAAGCTATTTAGCATATATTTTTATGTTCAGTTGAGAGAAGACGCCCTGATGAAAAGGCTCTAGTCGAGCAAGCAAACATTGTATTTGCAACCAGACACTACGCTTATAACCAGTTAATTCGTCTGCTATTGTATAAACAGAAAGCACATAAAGACTTGGCAAAAAAAGACCAAGTAAAGAGTATTTGAAGCGAGTGTGTAGCCAGGCAAATCATTAGAATCTGTAATAGCTGACGAAGCGTAATTGGCAAAATGACATGTGAACGCAAGCTGAATGGAAAAGATGGGCTTGATTGTCACTTGTTGAATAATAAGAAAGGTAAAATACATTATGGAGGACATTGTGACACGGTATTTCGTTATACCGAGTGCTTCCTTTAACTGCATTGCTCATCCCGAGGGAAGGGAATGCCATCTGCAACATATGAAGCACCCGAGAATGAAAGACAAATGGGGCGTCTTCATCTGTCGTAAAACTACAGTAGTTCTTTTATCATCTTCTTGCTTGTGTTCATGATTTCCCCCCAACTTATCCTTCCTACTCTGGTAACGTCTGGTCACCACTTAGCGATCTTTCAACATCCCCATTTCCGATCATAGTGATCTCTCTGATTGCTTGAGAAATAATATGTAATAATTTAATTGTTTATATGTTACGATGCCCTTGTTCTCTTCACACTGGAGGAGACCGCCTCCGTAGTGTAGTGGTTAGCGTCCGCCCGGAGAGCGGAAGGTCGCGGGTTCGATCCCCGACCGCGTCATACCAATAGACGTTAAAATATGGTACTTGTTGGTGTCTGCCTGGCGCTCGGCATTAATGGGTACAAAAAGGACTGGTCAGCTCGGAGTCAGTATAATGTGTCTGAGTGCGGTATTCATGCTTCACTGCTGCATGGTATCTCAGTGGGCTAGCACGGTTATGGCCCGGGAAAGCGAAATCTGGACCAAACCTCACATTACAAGAGTTACAATTTATGATACAGATCAACTTCCCTCAGGTAGTTCACTATGAGATGCCCGCTCTTTCATTTCACCAACTATAAATTGTTCCAATTTCTGAATAATTTCACCTGTTGTTCTGGTCTCTTCACCCGTTTGAATCCATTGAATCCACTGTATGGACGCAAAGCCTAGTCACTGCGAGCATTCATTAATGAAGCTACTTGATATTCACGAGGGTATGGTGCCAGATTCACTAAGATTTCACAGTTGTGCCATTTTTGCTTGCATAACTTCCCGTTTTTAGTTGCAATATCTCCTAATATGAGAGGACCTGAGGTTTTGACGCCCGGAATAGTTTTCAGTGTCACAGGGACATGCTCACCTCGTTCAGTTTGTTCAGTACAGACATTTTTTGAGTTTAGCAAAGCACGTGGTTTCAGCAGAAGTAGTTTTTCTTCGTTTGTAGGAAGAGAGAGTCACTATATTGTATGAAATAAGTCACTGTGCCATCAGAATCATTTCTGAATACAAATCCCCTTTAGCTTCCACCACGTTACGTGTTTATAGGACACGTTTAGTCAGGATCGGCTCAAACACGACAAGAAACCATTAGGGCTGATTCTCAACTGAGACAACTTCTCTATAGACCCATTGTAACATACAGGCTAAATGGATAACTGAAAGCACATAACTTCAGTGAAACATCTTTTTCATGAAGTGTGCGTGGAATGTATGAAGGTACCGTTCTCCAAGAAGGTCGACTCGTGAAGATCCGGGTTAGAATTGGTCTTCAACCCATGCTTTTCGTAAGAAGCGACTAACTAACGGGATCGGGTGGTCAGGCTGACATGTCATCATATTCCCATTGCGTCGATCGATGTCCATGATGATGATCACTGGATTGTCTGACCTTGCCCATGTTTGCTGATGACGTTGAGCAAGGCGTGTAATGGTGGTAAGATGACAGAGCTACCTCCTTGCAACATTCCAATGGCCATTCCCCTCTGCTCAGTCGTTACTCTAGGCATCGTTTGTGTGACGTGTACACCTTCTAGCCACAGGCCCTCGTGTCTTTGGGAGGATTAAAGTGTTAAAAAAATATATATAAATATTTGAGAAGACCCCCCACTCGAACTGCTTCACAGTACAATATATCAAAACGATGCCGGAAACTTTGGTACACCCCACTCGCCTGCTTTGCCGATCGCTATGCTACTCTCGCATGCAATCGATTACAACTTAATGTAAACATCGGGGACATCTCAAAACAATATTTTTAAAATCTTTAATCCTTTAATCTCTGAGGACACGAGGTCCTGCTCAACTGTTGTTTTCTTAAAACAAACCTTTATAAATGAAACCTCACAGTGAAATGCATGCTTTCCATCCAGAACCCTCAATGCACGTGCTAAAAGTATGGTTTGGCTGCACTGTGGTTGTGTTTGTGCGAATGTTTCGTATGGACGTCAAACTGCATGACATAATCTCATCGGGAATCATTGCATCACTTTACCATGAACGTTCCATAAATATGAAATATGAAAGATTTCATTTTTTCGAAACTTGCGTTTCTTTTGCTGTTAAGTATATTGTTTTATATGAAACTACAGGTATCATGAAAAACGTTCACTTCATTTCTTAACAGTCATGACACATACCTCGACAATGACTTATGTCAAATTCTGGGGAGCCTGTGACAAGTATCTTGTGACAGGACATAGCTCTTCTGGGCCATTTCAATACCCTGCCCTGATACGCTGCACCAAGAAGAATGTTACTCAGTTTAAGACATCCATATACCCGCGGTAATGTATATCTGCCAGGCTCACTCAAGCCAGAGAGCCGATGTGAATGTCATGGCGACCTGTCTCTTGAGTATTGTGAGGAGATATGAACTTGTATTGTATATTTGCATATCTGACAGTATCCGACTGCCTCTCTGAATACACGTGTACACAGATATAATCTTTTACATGCGCTCTATGTACTCACAGATCAACAGCAGTCAGAAAGACGTCCGCTGACATTGGCACAATTGTTATAAATATAAGAAAACATTGCATGAAACAAAATAAACAGACACAACAAAAGTTACCATGCATTGGGCTTTGATTCAGAGTTGTTGGTTTTATCATTCACTATAAGTATGAACGTTAAAGGTCTGAACCAGGCATAGTCATTTTTGTTCAATCTAAAAACAAATATAAGTGTCGATGATGCACTGAAGTCATCAACTGGGTAATACAATTTGCAGAGCAAAAACATGTTTTGATTACACTTGTATATGTTTTCTATCCAGCTTACTTGCCGAAAGTATGGTCTGTGGTGATGCACCTTCAGTTGTTGACAATCCATAGCCTGGTTTTATATTGTATGGTTTGATGATAACATGCTAGTTTTACTTTAATATCTGTGATACACTGGTAGTTTTACTGTTCTTCGTCAACAGGCTTTAAATTTGTAGTTTTATTATTCTCTAATACAATAATTACTTGTTCACGTCCCGATATGGCTGAAATATTGTCGATGTGACGATAAATATTTACTCAATCACTCACTACTTGCCGAAAGTGATCATGCTAAAAGACACATCATCTGTATATATCATTATAATCCTTAAATATTACCGTTGAATACAACACTGAAGAGAAATAGAAGCACGACATGTTGACAACAAAGTACAAACCCTCTTCGGTCGAACGGAGGACCACATTGTGCAGAATGGCAAGCCTGACACTGAGAAACATGAACATAGGTTTGAAGCTTAATACAATAGGGGGTTGATGCGCTACAGCCCGATATCAAATTAGCAAGATTAGACTCATAGTGACGAAAAACAATATTTACCAAAGCCATCTTTGACGATTTTTATGCCATTTCTGGATGCTATGACTGCTGATTTGGGATTCTATGACTGCCGTTTAGTATGCTCGGCGACCGTTCTCGAGCGCTTATGTAGCTGATACGCGAGGTTTGGAAGTTTATTTTCCTATTTTGGTGATTTCTGTTATGTTTTGGTGTATATGAGTTTAGTTTTGAGAATTTGTTCACCGTTTGTATGGTAGGCCTGTGTATGCTTCAAATGATTTTGTGCCAAATCAACCTAAATCCTGAAACCACATATTAGTATGTACATAATTATATTGTCATTCTACACTAAATCACTATTATAGTATACTCTGACACTTACATTGGAAAGAATTGCTCAATACTTACTAGTTTAATCAAAACTCATATTGGAGTAATTTTCTCTTTTCTCAGAGCTTCTATTCAGCGTGACTGCTCTCCAGCCTTTTTTATAAATTGTTTTGGGGCAAAAAGACATAAGTCAGGCCTGTTCAGAGGCAGAACACCCTAAGTCTGAGTTAGGTCTTTTTTCATAAATCATGTATATTCAACACGCTGTAATTCTGCAAATTATTAATGTCTCAACGTGACATTTCACCACAATGTAGATCTCATCATGACGGTTAGTGGGGTATTATTATGTCAAAACAACCTAAGTTTGAGTTAGGTCGTTCTGCTTCTGAACCCTTTCATTATATCACATAGTTGCTCAGTAATATTTATGATGCTACATACCACCACAATGACACGCTTAGGGTGCCAAAAAGACGTGCATCTGAGCTTATTCGAACAGTGTGATTTTACGGGGTTCTTCCTTACATACTGTTTTGATGCAAATTATTCATCCACTAGTTGTCAGTATATAATACTACTCGTAGTTGTTAAAGATATCCTGAATATGACCGATTGCCTTGGCATATTATATTCATGCCAATAATGGTTGTCATCCCCTTCCCCTACCCAACCCCACACACACCCAGCATCCACACCCCACACCCCTCTCCAATAAAAACATTGAAGGGGGTGACAACCAGTATTGGCATGAGTATATTGTATACAACACTGCCATGGCACAGACACATTCACTGCTTCAGTTCAAGTTGGGGAAAGCATAAACTATAATTATCATTTGATATTTACGAAAGAAAACATGAGGACTTTTTACTGGAAATAATTACGCTGTGTAAAGTTTTAAATAGGATAAGTAAATAGACTAATATATTTCATACATAAGGTATTGGAGTCAACAACAGGCTCATTTTACGATCGGAAATACTATTAGATATTTTTCCACAGTGGTTTAATACCAGGTACTTAATGTTGTGTTTGTTTTATCGTATCCCAATTGTGGCTACATGTATTATGTTTTGTTTCAGGTGAGATCAAAGACACATGGACAGTTGTGAAAGTCTTGAATGGCTGAATATTTTAAGGATTTATTTGAGACTGCTATACCGGCAGTTGTCGGAACAAAATGTTGGTTGAGGTTAATTTGAACACGATTCAATACACAATTGTCTAATGAAATAGGTAAGAAATACCTACCGTATGTGCGTGGCTTGTAAGCTACCGACTGGGGAATTTGAGAAGAAACAGCAGGTATTACATGTGTGTCTAGACTACAGCGAGACACGAGCGCCCAAGTGTAACGTTCAAATACAAACAAAACGCAGACTGAATTACTGAAAAAACACCCTTCAACGTCAGACATGTTTTCACACGTGATATGTTTTAGAATGGCTTTGTGTCTTATTTTGCCAGTGTTTACAATTCGATTTCACTTGAAATTATTACGATGCACAAAATATTATAATGTTTATTTTGCCCTAATTTTGTGTCCGTGTCCGTACTGTTATGATAGAATGTATCAAATGAAATGTTCTATTTACAATTTCATTTTCGTAGTAAAGTAAACATTCTAGAATTTGGGGGATTGGGAGTCCGATATGGAATTCGAACCCATAAAACTTAACTGATCCAAGTAGCCACCACACAGTCAGCGATCTGACCCACTCAGCCACGGTCCAAAACTACGGAGGTTTCGAGATGTCACACTTCTGCGCGGGGAGGCGCAAATAGGTTGTGCAACAAGCCGGAAGGTGGGGCTGTTTTAAGTGTCGCAGTGGCGGGTAATTCAAAATGTATCAATTCGATGCTGAAACCTGAATTAAGATCCTTTCTAATGACAAGGGGCATGGCTGTGTCGAAGTACACTTTGGCACAGCTCCGTGAGTTGGAGAGTAAGGCAGTTGAACTTGGTTTACCAGTGCTAACGACTCCCAATAATACGGTTTCATTGCTTTTTGAGAGATGTACGGTAGTTGTTGACAACGAAACAGTGACTTTTCCCGTGGTTGTGTCGACAAAACTGAAATCGTAGACTGATAACCTGCCATCGCTTCCCATTTTCTGTCACGCTGACAACCTAGTTTACTTGCTAGGGCATGGACGTTGGAGTAAAGAGAGACTCAAGGGGTTCAGGAAGGAGAAGGGATACCGATTGCACATCGATGGCCATGTCCTTGCAGTCAAGCTTCATATTCCAGCTGTATGGCGGCGGTCTGTAAATAGGCGAGTCTGGACAGACAATCCAGTGATCAACAGCAGTAGCATCGGTCTGCGCAATTGGGAACCGATGACATGTGTCAACCAAGTCAGCGAGCCTGACCACCCGATCCCATTAGTCGCCTCTTATGACAAGCATGGGTTACTGAAGGACAATATTCTAACCCGGACCTTCACGGGTCCTGTATAACGAGATATTACTGTTTCTAAATGTACTTTGTACATATTATATATACCTAGGGGATCATTAAGAGCGAATTTAAACAAATTGAATGAATCACTGCCTAGAACAAGCTTTGATCACATCAATCATAAACAAATCACTGATGGAATCAGAAGTCCCTGAATGTTTCAGGAGGGCCTTCAGACCATTGCTGAAGGAGGGGGGCTTGGACGTCTACAAAGAGGCAACGAAGAGTTACAGATCGGTGTCCAGATTCATGTCCAAAATCTTGGAGAAACTTGTTTCTTATCGTCTCCAAAGTAATCTTGCAACTCACAACCTCCATGATAACTAAATCACCTAACTGAATCGAACTCTCAACAGAGAGTCCTTGTTCTGGCCACCATAATATTGCAGAGGCCCAACAAAAACTCTGTAGCACGAGTGCATCCAGACCAGTCAGCAGCAGTCAGCATTAAACAGTGATCTCTGCTTGAGCTCCTTGCGTGGCAATAGGATCAGCATCTTTAGAAAATGGGCGTCTCAAGTCAGCGAGCATGATCACCCGATCCCGTCAGTCGCCTCTTACGACAAGCATATTCGCCTTTTGGGACAAGCATGGGTTGCTGAAGACCTTTTCTACCCCGGATCTTCTCGGGTCGGTTGGAAATTTAATGGAAGGGACAAATGTCAACCAACCAACATTTCACTTGTAAATTTCAGATCATCTTAGTTTTGTATTACAGAAAACTGTCCTGGTGTGGTTTGGTTACTGTTTAACGCCACAGTGTTCAATATTCCAGCTACATGGATTGTACGGTATGTAAATAATCGCGTCTGGACCAGACAATCCAGTGATCAACAGCATGAGCATCGTTCTACGCAATTGGGATACGATGACTTGTGTCAACCAAGTCGGCAAGCCTGACCACCCGATCCCGTTAGTCGCCTCTTACGACAAGCATGGGTTGCTGAAGATTAATTCCAACTTGGAACTCCAGGGGTATCCTGGTGTAATATTCAGCCCAACAACACATCTTAACACAAAGTTGTGGGAAATATGAAATTAAATCCTCTATTGACACCAAAGGTCACTCCGCCATCTCTACAAGTGCGCTTGCCCTAAAACCGTTTACATAACAAAAGCTATTAAGTATATATGTTTAATGTTCCGTTAAAGCGAGAAGACAGGTATTTAAGGTATTCACTCGAGCACGCACTCATTGCATATTGCAAACAATGTTGTTAAGCAAGTTAAGAGTTAATTCGTCGGGGATTGTATAATCCTGAAGTACGCTCATTAGACATGGCAGAAATAGACCAAGTAAAGAATATTTGAAGCGAATGACTAACCAAGGAAAACTACTAGAATCTGTAATCACCGACATGCTCATGTCCGATCAAAGTGATCTCTCTAAGATCATATTTGTTTTACACATAGTAGTAGTGTGCCAATAATGACCTAAAACCACGAAACGTACGTATTTCCTTTACAAAACGTAACTTAACCAATATTTAGGTTTTGCTCTCAAATATTTCATTATTGTCTATTTTATCAATAAACAAATACCCCAGACCTTTCATGAATTAATAAGTTGAAGAAACAAATATCATTCCCTTGTAGGACTTGACAAAATTGAAAACATACTTTAATCACTAACTGTCATAGTTTCCAATATCGTGTACATTGAATTAAACTTCCCTGAAAGTATAAATCCAGTTACAATGCTTGTTCTTTATAGTGCTTCTTCTCCTCTATGTATCCATCCGTTAATGAGTTACGATCTACGATCTAATGTGAACAGCCATATTCTCGTAAAGCTGCTGCAAATAGATGTCATATCACTTGATTAACCAAGTAGGTGGCTGAAGAAGATGAATTTCGTGGTAGTGCATACATTTTTTCACAAGTCGTATAGTTGTCAGAGATATTTACACTACGTAAATAGCTTAACATGTCCAAGGAAGTTGTAACAATGAAAATCATACCTCATAGGTGGGTGTATTTATGTTGTATGTTAGGTATTAATATATTATTTGCTTTTGTTCAACTATTGGTAACTATTATTACGTCGTCTAGACTAGATACATTGATCAGATTTCTTGCATGTAAGACTAATATTAATTTTACACAGACTGGCTACACACAAGAATATTTCAAGACAAACATGATATGTTTTTTCAGTATTTGATATACATGATTTGTGGTCAGGATGACTTGGTTGATGCATGTAATTTTATCCCTATTGAAGGTATGGATGCTTATGATATGAATCTGGTTGTCTGCTCCAGATTGGTTTATTTACAAACCGCACTCAAATGGCTACTATGTCTAACAACAAACAAACATTGTTTAATCCGGCACCTGTCTATTCCGTACTCCGGCACGACTTTCCGGTCCCAACAAGCAATTTTAATTGTAATTAACACTGTCTAAACCGGCATGGGTATGAGCAGTCCAATCAAGGACCCATAATCCAATACACTAATTAATCCTCTTGGCACGCTAGATAATCAGGAAGTAGTGATTGCGCGGTGCATCAAACGCTCTAAGCCGGCATGGGTATGAACAGTGCAATCAAGGTCCCTTAATCCATCAGTTCAAAGTCAAACATCAAAGGTTAGTGGCGAAAGTGCATGTATCAATCAAATTGACGTAGACGACTGTAAGTCCCGCCTTTCTAGTTTGATTGATGGGTACTCACCTGAACACGTTTTTTCAATTGCGACGAAGCGGATCTTGTGTTTCGTGCGTTACCTGACAAGACACTGGCTACTAGGACTGATGCTGCTAAAGGTGGCAAAATAATAATGATCTATCATCAACATTGTTTTAATTTGTTGCACACTTACATAAGATCAAACGCATTATAGGCAGCTGACTGGGGAGTTTGAAAAGAAACAGCAGGTGCGCTCGGTACTCTACGTGTGTCTAGTTTTCCATATAACCTGCACCGAGACATGACTGAGCTGAGCTGAGCACGGGATGTGCTCCAAAGCGTATGGCTCAAATACAAAAGGAAAGCAGACTGAATTACCAAAATCTTCAACGTTTAAACATGTTTCATTGAGTAACTATTAGTCAATAAGCAAAATTCATGACAGGCATTCATAAATCGCTTAAAGCAGACGGTCGTACAGGTAACATCATTAATCGTAGTTAGTCTCTACCATTTCTATATAGTCTCAAATCCATTAGGTATAAAGCTTAAGTGGTTTGGCACACACATATTTGTTTATAATAACAAGTTTACAAGAAATCAAGTGTCATGACTACTATACAAGAGGCGTTCGGTTTTAAATGAAAAATAGAGCTATCATAATTTCGTTATATAATACTAATATTCCAAGACAGTGTGTGTAATGGTCAAAGACCCAAAAATGTTATTTTAAACCCTATTCCGTTTGTTTTTCTGTTTGTTCTTAAATATGGGTCCGGTTTTCGGATTTGAGTCCGAATTTTGTACATACCGGAAAGGGAGGTAATCAATTTGTTGTTTGTGTATCTGTTGGTGTTCCCAGTCAGACTCAATTGTGAGTATTGTGTTGGGGGTTGGGCTACCGGTAAAGGGACCACATGGTCGTTATTGAGATAGGACAGATTCATAATATACACGATTTTCCCCACTAAATGAAAAAGAAAACCGATATCTTTTAAACTGACAATGGAGTGCCCACTTAAATGATGGTGGGGTTAGAATTTGATACAAGTGTTTAAGTGAGAAAACACGGGTTAAAGGTGATGCATGTGTTCTTTCAGCCATAAAACAATTATAAGTATGAAGTTTCCGTGTGTTCATTTGAATGTGTCTTGTTAACAGATAAGGTGTGATAGTGCAAAAACGAATGATATTTTCATCTGCTCAAAATAACGCAAACAACTGGATGCCTAGACATACAAAACAAAGTTACAGTATTTCCACTATCTTCTTTGATTGCATGCATTCTGAGGTTACAAAGACTTTGGGAGAGACAGTGGTCGTATTTTGATCAAACGGTTTTGGTTTGGAATCCTACTGGAATCTTGATATCTTCTCATATAGTGACAATATTGTGCAATGTATGATAGGAAGACTAAAGTTGCAACAGCAGGTTCCGTTGTTCACCACTGAGTAGTTGCAAGCCTTCCCATTGAATTAATACTAGTTGCAATCATATACCGTTAAAATGCCGTAAAGTGAGTGAGTGAGTTATTATTTAACGTCACATCGGCAATATTTCAGCCATATTGTGACGAGAACATATGTGACATTGAAATGGAATAGATGTATATTTCTATTACATTTTGAAGTTCTTCATAGCATATCCCAAAATAACAGGATATTGTTTGTTTACGCTTTGAACTGTACGTTTCTTTTTCTTCATTTTCGAATTATTTTCAATGTTGACGCAATGACATATTTGAAGTTAATTTAATGTTTTAATCATATGTGATTTATTATGATTTATGTTTCGATCATACATTCATATATTGCGTTGTCATAGTTTAACCATGGTTCGTATTTTTTCTTCATCATATTACTAGTAATTACTACATATTATTGTATTTTTATGAGAGGGAATTTTAAGTTACATTTGCTAACTTAAAGGATATCATAAATCGCTGGCGCCTGGTTATTCCTTGCCACATAGCAGTCAATCTGTCTACTCATTTGTTGTATTTGATTGATGCTTTTAAAATAAAATGTAGAAATGATATTGAATTTTATCATTTGCTTCAAGGAATCGATCAAATGTGCTCGTTATCAAAGTAAAGTCAAAACTTCTTTCTGTAAGGTATACAGTGGAAGTTGACACCTTAATTGTTATGGGTACACCAAAGAAATCATTTAAGAAGCCGCCTTCTAAATTAGTTTCACCTCGGCATATCCCTTCTCTGGTTCCGAAAATACCAAGATTTAGGCATTGTCAAAATACAACAAAGAATTCAACGGGTGGCATTAACCTCAAAGAATGATCATAGCAATGCTTATAACCTACGAGGGCAAATAGATGATACGTTCACAACCATAGACATTTCAGGGATAATTTGTTTTCATGCGATATGCACTACCCAGCCCGTCTTGTCTCCAGGACTATCACCAAAACCCTTGAAGTATCAGGTAAAATATCACTTAGTCATGGTGACATGACATCATGAACAATGTTATGACGTCACGTTGCTTCTAAGAAGCCGCCTTCTAAATACAACGATGACGGGGAGCCTGCCTTTGTGTGAGAAAGTAGATTATCGCGTAATTTCCGCAATTAAAGACTTTTGATCGGTAATGAATAGAAAATTATATTCGTGACCATAATATGCTAGGTTAACGACCTAAATATCGGTAACATATCCCTTCTGGTTCCGAAAATGACCAAGATTTAGGCAGTTGTGTTGTAAACTGATA